CATTTACACCCTTTCATCTTATATATATTATTGTGGTTGTTTTCTTATGTGCATTACTTTGCATTTATCAATACTGAATTTCATCTGCTATTTTATTGCCCAATAACCCAGTTCTGTGAGATCCCCTTACCCAAGGCAGTAAGTGGAAACTCAATGGTATCTGTTCTGCCCCTTGCGCTCCTTGATTTCAGAAAGCAAATTAAAATTTTCCTCTAGTTCTTAACCCAGTTTCTTAGTAAGTTTAGATAAGTTAATATTTTAGCATATCTGCCCAGCTGTGGCATTCTTTTTTTTCCTTTTTAGGTCATTACTAACCAATCAGTGCCAAGGTACCTTTCACTCAAGAGATATCAAAAGCCTCAGGCTTCAAACCCTGCTAACGTGATGGTGTAGTGCCAGACAAATCTGATGTGTGTTCTGTCTGGGGGGAAATCCACTTCCCCAGTTGTTGTTCAGTGTATTGGTTCTCTTCAGATTGGACAGCTTTGGCTGCAGTCTCTGAGACGTGTTAGAATCTTGAACTGGTGTCTGTAGCGTCGATATTAGCATAGGAATCAGCATTGATGTTGGTAGCAGAAGAGCATGTTCTAATCTAGTGACATCCAGGTTGGAGTCCCTTGATGCTGTAGCATTGTGTCAGTATTAGCCAGATAACCTGGCACTCTTTTTGATCCAATATACTTCTCTTCCTTCTCCTGCTTTCTCAGAGCCAAAGTTGTGTGGCGAACCCATACCCTCTCAACCTTCTCTAGACAAATTCAGTATTGTGTCTGTGGTGATGGGGATTGGATCCACATTGGGGATCCCCCACTAAAATAAAATAAAAGCTCTAAAAATAAATGAGTAACTCAGAAACACACAATCTCCTTTCCACCCCAACTCCTCTTCCTGGGTCTCCACACTTCCTTAGCTGTATGTTTCTGAAATATATTGATTGTACTGGAGAATGTGGATTCTCCCTTCCCAGCCTTCCAGAGACAACTCCCCTCATAGGTTTGTTTTCCAGTCAAGTCAAAACAGGCTAGAGGTCTTGAAATGCAGAAGATGGAGGAAAATGTTGAGGTTCCCCACGATGACTGCATTGATAATCCAGAACTGCAACTGGTCTACTTGCTCCTCGCCTTACCAGACGAACCAGATACTACAATCCAGTGTCCCTGTGCGATTACTTCAGAGCATTCATCTAAGACTTGCTAAGGAGAACAGCTAACATATTAAATATAGAACTGTCATTGGCACAGAAGGCACAAACTCTTCAACACAGCCAGGCAGGGTGGCAGTGCCCTTATGTGATAGGTCCTCAAACCAGCAAAGGAGCTGTTTCTC